CGGACTGTTTATTGAATAACCCCTGGGTGTCACAAACAGTTTTATAAATCGCTTTTGGGACTTTATAAATAGCGTCTGGGATTTTATAAATCGTTTCTGGCCTCCAATTGCTCAAAACAGAAACCAGCCTTTAAAGAGGTATACTATGCAACACATCGGTGTTGAGATATACTATGTTGGCGTATAGAAAGCAATGAGAAGATTGGATTGTTCAAATCGTACGGGTACTGGTAGCGTTTTTCATTTGGGCATGTGCCAAAGATTACATACCCATTTCTTGCGCCCCAGCTTGTTAGAACCCACCACAAAGATCATGAAGATGCTTGTAACGTGCTGGCCCGATTGGGCGTTCCATTAATTGAGCCCTCGCCTGCAACGCTTTGCATGTGTTTCGGTTCCAGGCCTTGGGCTGGGAACTCGCTGCCGCTGCTGCGGCATCCTGGGGAGCCTGATCGCAGGGTACCGCGTTCAAGACCTGAAGCCCTGAAACCTAAACCTTACTCAAAACCCAGGCCTAAAGAGCTCTCCTTGCGAACTCATCGTCACCTTTGCCCCTTATTCTCTCACTGTTTGTACCATTTCCCCAAACCCGCAATCGTGGCCTCTGCATGGCGATGGCACTCCATTGTTCCTTACACCTTTGATTAAGCCCCTCAGCTGAATGAGCCGCACATCCTGCACGGAATCTAGAGAATCGCCGATGAGTTGGAAACTCTGGTGAGAACGCATTCATGTAGCGTTGGAGCATGGCTTCAGGCATGCAAACAGAGCCTTACCTTGGCACTTGAGGTAAAAAGCATGGGGTGGATCTAGGTAAAGATGTATCTCCGGCCTGACCCCTCCATGCTAACCCATGCTAACCCATGCATAACTGACCCCTATGTGGCTTGCCCAGTTGTCCGAACGAGCTTGGGCTGCGTCGGGTTTAGAAGTCTAAATGCTTCACATCAAGGCTTAGGGTTCACGGTTGGGAGCTTAACTTACCATAATAGGGTTGGGGTTTGGGGCCTACATGCGGACATGAAGAGCGTAGGCTCTCAGATGCATTAGTTACAGCGAAGTGTATGCAAGGATGTTGAAGGACCTGGCGTTATTTTTCAGATTTCTGTACACAGGAGCAGACTGGCATGAAGATCTCTACTTCCATTGACAGCAATTGCACAAGCGGCGATCGCATGGTTTGCTGAGCGCAGACGAAAACTTCTTCTTCTTTCTGGCAGCTACCAAATGGGAAGGTTCCCCACACTAAGTAGGCATGACACTAGAGCAGTAGTGATAAAAGACTACAGGATATTGCAGGGTTGTAATGTGGATCTGTCCGTTCCTACTGAGCTTGCAGCTCCAGCAGTTAAACACATACACCTGCCATAGACAGATTGGGCGCTCAAGAATGACATGCCATAGGTCCCATCGTGGGCCTCGCATAGGTAGGTTGGCAATGGTCTAAAATTGTTACGGCACCGCGTCACAATCATGATTTTCCGCAATCATTGGAGTAGCAGGCGGAAAAGCTCACGGCCGACCTTGGGATGTAACGAACCTGACTTCTCCAACTGAAACAGCTCCTCGGTGGTTGCTGCATAGGTCTTCCGCGGGTCTGCCTCAGCTCTCCAGAAGCTTCGCAGTTCGGAGATGACCTCCAGATGCTGTTTCTCCTCCAGTGGTAACACAAAGTACTTCGATATCAGCGCGACACATTCTTGCCGCTGAGCTGTGCTCAAAGCTGGGCAACTGCGCCTCAGGCATGCTGCAGCATTCTTTAACGGACTCCATGTCCACGATTTGATTCTTCATGAGGCTCAGGACTTCTCTTGCAGCTGCTTCTCTCAGCTGCCCCGTGCCGCAGCCAAGAAGGGTCATCAAAGCATAAAGGCCAGCTGTGCGTACCTTGTTATCCTTGCTGCTGCAGTGCTCCAGGATGTCACTGAGCAGCACGGGAACCATCAACTTTGTAGCGGACTCGGGAAAAATGACGTAACCTCCAGCTGGCCTGTGCCATGTTCCAGAGTTGACCTCATATGCCAACCGTGCTACATTTAAATAAGTCGCCAAGGAAGGAGCCTAAGGCAAATAGTTTGGCTTTGCTGAAGAATCCGTCAAGGAGCAGTGATAAACCTTGTCCGGCCTGGGGTTGCCGCCAAAGCATGTTTTCAGAAAGCGCGCTTTGACGGTCAACATATCTTCGTCCGCAGCGTCGGAGCTGGCCCTCCCCAGCCCACCTCTGGTGTCGTAGAAGTGAAGAATGTCGGAAGGCCTCCGATCGCATGGAACGCGAAAGTTGCCTCACTACTGAAACTGACATCTTATGAAGCTTCATTGCAAGGCCTGTGAAAACTGCCCATCTCGACAACGTGGGCCACCAGTGCCTCACAGCGAAGAGGTACGGTGAACCCTTTGGCCCCGAACATTGTGGGAAGCAGGCTAGATATCGGCAGTGGCATGCAGATCAGCCTTGGGATCTTTGGCTTGCCAGGAGGTCACGCGCCAGCTCTTGATCTCTGGCACCTGGGCTGCACCCACCCCACCTCAGGCCCAACGCGATTGTGGAACATGTTTGTTACAAGGGGTGTGGTTGACTCATCTCACTTGGTGAGAATCCACACCATCTATCGCAGACGCTGAAAACTACACGCCAGCAGGGGCGTTGACACACCAAAGAGCACTCATCCCCATATAGAGGTTGCTTCCAGCGCAAACTCAGCAGCAAAGCATGAAATTGCCGGTTCGGCTGCGGACACTGAGATTTGAGAAGGATTATAGACCTGGTTTCAGATAAGTGCAAACAGGGCATGGATAACTGGGTACGTTCCTGACCAAACAGGCCAATCCGGTTTTCAATACTAAACACACGATGAGAGATGCACACTGAAAGCCTACACCTCTACCGCCCCTGAATTAGCATGCAACCTCGCATAGTCATAATCAACCATTAGAAGCACAACAATACTTGCACCTGTGCTCTAACCTCTTGCCCACGCTGAAAAAGACTTTACCAACCGAGTGCTGTCCAACAATAATCTTGACTGCAATTACCCGCAATGCCAAGATACAGTCAGGAAGTCTAGAAGAAGCGGCCTGAGAGCACTGCTCGGACTGGCTTTTCTTAGAGAGAGACAAGCAAACTGCATGAGATCTCTGTCCAGGTTCAGAACCAGCAACAGCAACGACAGCAAGACGCGCGCGGGCAGGTGCAGACAAGTTGCAGGGGCAGCCAGTAAAGCCCCAGAGCATTGCCATCCTGCAGATCTTCTGGGTGAAAGCTGGGGAGATGGCATGTGCTTTGGAACTTTGGGGCTTTGGGTTTAGGACTTGCAATGCCTCATTGACGCGTTGTGCGCGGAGCGGCTCGGCCATTGTGTCATCAGTGTGTGAAAGCCTGCAATCTCTCGCCGTAGACTCACCAGTTGAGGTCCGGGCAAAGATGTCCTGTCCCCTGCAGCCAGGGCACGCCAGCGACGAATCTCTTGCTTCGGTTTTGCCTCTGGCCTCTGAGTCATCTTTTCAATGCTGCAGTACTATCACACACCCTGACTACAAACAGGCCCGCCTGCATAGGACTGTGTGCTGACAGCAAGGCTTTCTCGGCTCGGCGCCTGGGATTCTAATTGCTAGGGCCGACCTTTGAATCCTTGTACATCCACACACTGGCGAGGGTCCTACATTCAAGTTTGCACCTCAAGACTGAATATGCTACGTCAAAAAAGGGTAAGCTCGTTTTTGGGGTGAGCGTGGGCTAGAATTCCGAATTCTGGGGTGACCTGGCATCCCCTTCTAATATGCAGGGATGCCGCGTCGTACCCCAGAATTTGGAATTCTAGCCTCGGTTTAGCTTCGAAACCAGCCCGTTTTAAACCCCAGTGCGCATGATTTGTCTGAACCTAAGCTTGAGAGCAGACCTTCCAGGGACCAAGCTAACCTCTCAGCCAGAAGGGTAACCCCCCAGCAAATGAGTGGTGTTTTTTTGGTGGTTGAACCTAGTAAGATTATATTCCCTATATAAAATACTATACCCCAAAAGGATGATAGAATCTTACTCTATAATGGGTACCATAGAATCCCCAAATAAAATACTATTCAAATGAGGTGTACAGGTCCAGGGTCTGACGCTGAAACCCCTTGAGAGTGGCGGAAAAAATGACATCAAGAGCCTCATTGACCAAGGACATCACGATTGATGTTCTCGCCTGATGATCTGGGTTGGCCCCTAAAACCCTTTGAAAAGTATTAGTATATAGGGTCCCTTATTAAAGCCATTAGGGAAAATCTTAACTATCCCAGGGGCCTACCCAACGATGACCGCAAAGCATAATGACTTCTCCCCTCAGCAGCCGCTGCAGCACGCGATCGAAGACGCTATTCCGAGCGGAGGCTGTCCATGCAGATCATGCATACTTTGTCTGCCATTTGCAGCTCGGGCACTGGTCTTGCATCAGCAACAGCTGCGCTTCAAGCTCCCTTAGCCGATCCAGCTTGAGGTTGTCCTGCCACAGACTCTCCAGGCTGAACTGCCCAGGAGATCAAAGATAAAACCAACCCTACAGCCTACAGCTGTTGTGAGAACCCTCTGTCATCCGAAGCCTCTCGCTCCAGGTTCTTGGAAGTCTCCCTCGTAATCTGTCCGCAACTTGCACTGGGTATTTCTCTGCATGTTGCAGAGCTCCAGCAGCCTGCACGGAACACAGCATCTGCATGTGGTCACGTGTCCTGCTTTGGTTGTTTGCAGATTTTGCTGAGGCTGTCTGAGATCTCGACTTATTCAGCTTCTGATCAAACTCAAAGACTTGCTCCCTCACGTTGATGATGTCGGGCTCGCTGGTGTCGGAGCCTTGAGGCCTGCAGGCAGCCGGGTGACTGCGAAGAACGATCACGGGAAGTCAGAGCAAGACCACTTCACTGCAGAACAAGACAGAGCGCATCACTGCGCTTGGAATTGTCGAAGCTGCTCCAGGTGACTGCCTCAGCAAAGTGGGCACTAGCTTCCTGCATCAAGCTGTGTCTGGCTAGAACAAGGACGAGAGCTGAAGCTCATCGCAAATGAGCGTAATCGCCCCTTGAAGCGCTTGCGCCAGACGCTTGCAGCAAGCCTCGGCTTGCTGGCGCTGCGCGGACTCGTCCACCAGCTCCGCACGCTCAGCTTCAACCAGCCTCAGCCGGGCCTGTGCCCCAGAAGGCTCATACAAACAAGCTCACTGCGGATTGAAGGCTCAGAAGACTTTACAGCGTAAGCACGCTGACTTGCTTGCGTTCATCTTCTTGAGGAAAATCTAACAAGTTCTGTGGACAACACATGTGATGCTCTGAGACACACAGTTGGTCTTGTTGGGGCCCCGGCTCGATGTAATCACTGAGCAGCTGCTGTTGCAGAGTCCTTTGCTGTCAGGCACATGCAACAAAGTCTCCGACAGTTCATTCAAAGATGCAACGCATAACATCGCAAAACACAACATGGCGCAGCCCCTTCCCTTCACCCACCCTTCCTAAAATAAACCCCGAATCCAGATTAATGGGGACTTAGATAAGGATTTGTGTAGGTTTATTTGGAGAAGGGGAGTTAGGGGTGGTCCAGTATTATAGGATACCATGACTCGCGCTGCACGCGATGTCACAGACACTGAGCAAGCCCAAAAGATACTCCCATGGAAGGGTGTGATCGCCCTGGAACCCCCATAACGCCCTGCAAGCTCCCCATGGCTCTACTACATCAGTGCCTAACATGTGTTGCAAAAACATGTCTTCGCTGAGCTCCTCACTTCTCCCTGGTACAATGTGTCATTCCCGCCTGTAGCTCCACGCGGAAATGCCACCTTCATATGGAAGAAAACTTTGCTGTGGTTCATTTCAAGCACGTGTTGTGGCTGACACAGAAAAAGCGACCTGCTTCCACAGCTATGCGGCTATGATCTATCACGTTACGCACAATCACAGTACTGCTACATAAAATTAGGCAAAGTGAAGGAAACACACTGCTCTGCCGTGAGACCTGAAGCGTGCATCTGCCTTGAAAATTGTGTCAGGTGCCGCGCGGCTGCTCGCTCGGCAAGGGATTCAGGGTTCGAAGTTGTAGGGTTCTACGGCTTGGCTTTTAATGTTTGGGATTCAGGTTCTGGGGTTTAGGGTCATGGACAAAGGTTGGCCGGCAATAGGGAGAGGAACTCGAAACAATAATAAGACAACGATGTCGCGATGGGGTTTTTCTTTCATTCGGACGACATGGAAAAGACGTCTGACACAGCGCGCAAAATTGAGAGTTGCGCTTGGTCCGTTCAGAAACATGAGATAAGCATAAAAAACTACAGACCGGGACCCTCAACCCCTAACCCAAGCAGCCCTTTATCTAAAAGGTGGCTACACGCGGCCAAGATGTTGCTGCGTAATGAGCCAGCAGACGGATGGCAAGTGCACTCAACATGTCAGAGCTGGGCGGGCTAGCACGCAATTGCAGTATCCCACCATGCAAGTCCAACAGCAAACCTTGCTTAAGCCATGATCTTTACAATCCTCTTCGCAGCATGTGACAAATCTCGGAATGTCAACATGTGTTTTGCTCAATTCGGGGTGTACGGCGCCCTGGGTCTTTTCAATCATCCGGCAAGCATCCTTGCAGTCCTGCCTTTCATCCCAGCACCACTCAACAAGGTATACACTGCAACTGCGTTGAGCAATTACATACAAGGTTCTCGCGTGAGCATATGAATCCTGGCCCTTTAAAAATGAACCCCCGCCAACCCCATGGCACTCAATAAAGTACCGTTATATAAGCGGAGGGATATTCTAGCACAAGCGCCGCGCCTTTTTGTCGCCTGCGAAGACTTGTTGTTCGTGAGCTGCCCAAGATTGGCAGGAGTGGCCGGCCTGGCCCGGGCTGCAAGGGTTCACACGGGTACAGGAAAAACCAAGGACTACCTAGGGAAACCTTACAGGGGGGCGAGGTCTAAACCAACCCTAGGGCGGGCAGGGTGGGAACCGACATGAGCTTCGAGAATCGCATGCTGGAGGCTTAACACATGTGCTAGGCTGCAGCACAAGCGCCGCGCCTTTTTGTCGCCTGCGAAGACTTGTTGTTCGTGAGCTGCCCAAGATTGGCAGGAGTGGCCGGCCTGGCCCGGGCTGCAAGGGTTCACACGGGTACAAGGAAGAACCAAGGACTACCTAGGGAAACCTTACAGGGGGGCGAGGTCTAAACCACACTCAAGATGCTTCGCCGTAGGCGACAAAATTTTTGTTCAGGACGTTTCTCAAAGACACCGGTTGGTGTAGAGCTGGACAAGTTTGGCTGCCAGCGGTCTTAGAGCAATGATCTTTTGGCGGCAGGCTTCGGGAAGCCGTTGCAGGATCACCTGCGCTGCCACTTCCTGCAAGTAGAATTCCACGGTCTTCTGCCTGGCCCACCTTCCGCGCCAAGCCACGCGGCTCAAGTCTTCCGTCTCTAGATAGAGGTAGGTTGCACCGCTGCCGCGGAGGACCCCGGGAGTCACACCTTTATCTAGCTTCTTGTAAGGAACCCCAAGCTGCTTCATAATGGCATTCCATTGGCTTCGAAAAGTGGCCTTTGATCCAGGGTAGATTTTGGAATCGAAGTGCAGGGAGCCAAAAAGGCTTTCAAGCAGGCGCAGGACAGAAACGTCCTCTAGACGGCAATGTTGCCGCCTGGCAAACCTGGCGGTCTTTGGGTTTCGAACATGCACATAGGCGATCCTGTCAGACGACAAAGCGTCGGCTGGCAAAATCAGGTCACCTCGGGTGAGGTTCAAGTACTCGGACGGGTGCAGCATGCAAAGGAACCCTATGAGCAGGGTACTGGCGAAGCGGGGCCATTGCCAGGCCAAGGCTACAGCAACCATAGCTTCGACTATGGGAGCCGACATGACCGGTTGGCACTCACCCGGCTCTGCGTGCTGCCACTTGTTGTCCACTTGCCAAGCAGGCGTGAGCTGCGTTCGGAAGGCCGGACAGGTATCCTGCACCGCCGTTACGGCGTAAACAAAAAGGTACCTAGGGAACCCGGCAGAGTCCAAGTACAAACCATAAGCCCTAAGAGCGAGCGCTAGGGGTTCAGGTGCGAGGCACAGGCGGGAAAAGGTAAAACCTAGCTCGCTCGAAACCCAATCTTTGAAGGCCTGCAGGCAGCTAGCCATGCGCTGAACCGTGCCGTTCATTACTTTGAAAGCCACACACAAGTTTGCTACAGCTCTAGCACTAAGAAGCTAAGCAGGCCAAAGCGTTGGAGCCACAGCTACAAAGCACTCTTAACCTTTTGACTTTGCCGGAGTAGCAGCTCTGAGTTGGAACGCAGTCTGAAAGCGAAGTCAGAAAAAGCTAAAACTCTGCGGCATAAGCACCTGAAGCTCAGAAAGACCAAAGCCCTGCAGGTCAAGCGAGTGAAGGGTAACAAAGGCCAAAGCTCTGCAGACCAAGTACCCGAAGCTCCGAAATTGCTCCATTAGGCTGAACGCGGCGCAATGCAAACACAAGAGGTCTTGCTGCGAACAACCGTCCAGTCACGACGGCCAGAGCCACGTGGCTGAATGACCTGATTTGCGCCAGGCAGAGCGCAAGCCGCAGGCGGCAACGCTGAAAAGCGCAACGCAGGCTAGGCAGTAGCGTCTGCAGCACAAAGGCCTGAGTTGCGGACCGTCTGCTGAAGTTGAATGCCTTGAACCGGCAAGTCCTTCATGAATGGTAACTTGGAAGACGCGAGGTCTGGCACGAGCTGCTTGCTCGGAGTGAATGACGCACGCAGGCCGACAGGGCTTCGGCAGACAGCCAGTATGCACTGCATCAAATGTGCTTGTGGTAGGTTTCGCGCTTTTTCTGGGAGTTGGGCGCATGTGTGGGAATCAGCCCCCGATAGGCCTACCAACCTGACCGGAACCCATAGGGCAACCCTCAGGGGAAGATCCTAGAGCCCAGGTGGTGGATAAGGTACGGGTCAGCAGGATACACGGGTTCAGGTCCATGTGTGAGATGCAGGGGTCCAAGGCCGTCGCGCACGCCGTTGGCGCCTTGCAGGCAGACAGAGGGCCAACTGAAATGAAGCCACATCTAAGCCGCCCAAACGCAAGCACTGAAATGAAAATGCAGCTACAGAGAGGCATGGGCTGGCAGACGCATATACATTGCTCTGTAAAGCGAACCCCCCCAAAAAATGAAGGGCCTAGCACTCTGCCAAAACATCTCTGAACGGATCCGAAGGTTCAGGCGACGCAGGCACACTCTCCATCCAGCGCAGGGGCAGAGCAGGTGAATGCACACAGGCCACAGACCTGGAAAGGAGCTACGAGGCTGAAGCGCAATACCAAAAAGTTCACTGCGGTCACACCATGGGGATGACCAAAGCTCGGGCACAAAGCAGGGCGCGTGCGATACTCACCGCCCAGAGCAAAAAGCCTCAAGTGAGCGCCGGGTCTGTAAATGAATGACTGAAAGGTGTGTTGCAGAGTGCTTCTGCCAAAGCATAGGCGACCCATGCTTTGGGAGAGACACGCTGGAACCCACCTACACACACACACGCCATCCACTTCCCCCTGAGGGGCGATGCAGGCTCGAACTACGAAGGCTCAAATAAAAGCGCTGAAGCTATGGTAGACTTACCACAAACGTGTGTGCAAACCAATCATGTGTTAAGCGTTGAAACTTGGAAATAAGCTCAAGCATGTGAGAATGAGGTTACCTGAAACCATAGCTTGAGCTAAGGCACAAGCTAAAAGACGGAACGTAAAGCGTGAAAGCATGTAATGCATGTAAAGCAAGATGCTGCATGACGCTGCTGCCTCTGAGAAACTATGTGTGAAAAATTTGAAGCTGCTCTGAGAAACTATGCGTGTGGCTTGAGCCAAAAGCAAAGCATGTGTGATGGTTCAACAAAGTATAAACACATTTGAGTAAACACAAACACCAGCTGTAAAGCCGGACTGAAGGTCGAGAGGGCCACGGGGGATGCGCAAAGGCTGGCGGGGCCCAGGATTAGTTTCTATATCACCCCCCAAAAGCAAGAGAAGTCTGAGCCATCTGCCTGCCAGTTTGGGAACCCTAGAGGCGGCAAGCATAATGTCGAACCGATAGGTCTTGCCACAAGCAGGTCGGAGTACCAAAGTGGCAGCCCCTTGGTCGGAGCGTCAACAGGCCTGCCACGGGAAGGCCCGTCCGAGCGGTTCTGCCCGGAATACACATGCAAATTGCCGTTGTAAAGGCCACCACCAAGGAGGTATGGCAAGGAACCTTGCAAAACGCGGCAAAGCGCAGGGCTAGAGGAGCGCCCCTTAGCGGCAGCACCGAGAGTGACCCGACTGTCCAACAGGCCCAGGACCCTGGAGCAAGGGCGGTGCTTAGCGGCATGTTTCAAGAAAGTTTTGTACATGCGGGCCTCCAACACGTTTATGTGCCCGGGCCGGCGGAACTTGTACCTGAGCACTTCCTTGAAGCAGAGGCTGTCGACCAGCTCGCCTATCCACTCGGGATCTTCATGAAAGCAGCGCGAAGGCCCGGGCTCTAGCTCTGAAGCAGCGAGCTCGGACGCCAGAGCCAGGGAGCAAAACTGAGCACTCAAAGGCAGAGAACATCCGCCGCCGCGGCTAGCAGCCAGGCTGCCAGCTGCCATCCTTTGCATCAGTGCAATGGGATACCTGGCTGAGTAGGAGGCCACGCTTTGCCCAGGAACGGGAGCTTCCCCGAAAACGGCAACGGCAGAAGACTTGCAGCGGGCATCGAAAGCAACGACGGAAGCCTTGGCGAAGGTACCTTCAATCACGAAGTGCGGTGCAGAGGCTGGGCAAGAGCAGCCCTGAGGCAAGTCCAGGAGCCACGGCTTGTTGTGGAGAGGCTGGCTTTCCTGAAAGCGGCACCGAAGCTGCACATGCATAACCTGGTGACACGGGCACCAAGCTCTAGCAGGCGTTGGAAGCAGGCAAGGCGGAACTTGACACTGGACCCTGGCTGCTCTACACTAAAGAAAAGGACTATACTAAAGAGGAAAGCAACCCTACGGGCCAACCGATTATGCAAGGCAGTGAGCTCGTCGTGGGGGTTGAAGCCGGCCGGCACACCTTGGATCTCAAGCGAGGACGCCGCAAAGCGCCGAAGGTGAGGCAGCAGGGCGGGCCGGCGCGCCAGTCCCTGACAACGCGCCTCAAGGCGAGGCCCAGAAGCTCACGAAACACTGCATTGTCCGCCAAGTCAAGGAAACGGACACGGGGCCCTTGCACGTCCACACCATCGTGAACCTTCAAGCCTAAGGCAGCATGGGCTGAAGACCAAGAGCCAGTGCCCCGGCAAATTTCGATGGCGTCAAACAAGATGCCTTCGGAAAGCCCAGGGGGTATGGGAATAACATCCGGGGCCTGAGTCGGCACCGCTGTGTCGAAAACGACTTCGGAGTCAAAACCACATTCCCTCAAGGCGGCTGAGGACGGGGCCTCCAGCTTGGTGTAGCAGCCCCGTTGCTCGGAGTGGCGCCAAAGCTCTTGCACGGCTTCGGGAGTCGAGGTGGCTGAGGCAAGCCCGGCGCCGCTCGGACTCGCATCCCTGTGTCCTGAGGTCGCTTTGGAGCACCGGGCCGAGCAAGCTCAAAGTGAGCAGTTCGTTGCGAGTCCGGCGGGACAATCGCAGCACAGAAGTGGCAGGAAGGCGCGCAGCATCTTTAAAGGATGAATCCAGGATGCACAAAGCAGGTCGGCGGAAGAGGGCAACATGAATCCAGCAACCCAGCAGCGTGCTGAGAACCTTTGGTGAGCAGGCACCTTTGCGGGCAACCTCGGCAGTGCAGAGCATAAGGACTAGAACCCTATCCCTAGGGGCACTAACCAACCCTACATTGCCATCGATGTCGGCCCCCAAGAAAGTGCCTTGAGTCAGGTTCCGCTTCTTCTTCTTCTCGCGCTGGATCAGGCCGACCCGCGGGTAAGCTGCGTCGGCCTGGGCAAAAACTTCAGTGTCGCGAAGGGCGTGCCCAAGCTGGGCGTGTCGGCGGCTCAAGACTTGCACAGACAAGTGGTCGTCAATGCACAGCAGTTCACAAAAGGTACCTCGAGGGAAAGGCCTCCTGAAACTGACAACTTGCGAAGGCAACATGCATCCCGCGCAACGCAGAACCTCAACATGACTCTGTTGCGCAAGCTCGACAGCGAGGTTATCGCACATCGCAAGGCAAGCGAGGGCCAGGAAACACCGGCCGAAGTGCTGCTGCGGGTTGTAAGCTCTGAAGCCCTTGAGGTCGTCAGGAGTCATGGCCATCCCGATGCAGTTGCGTTTTGCTCTCTCGTCAGATACCTTTACGGTGTAATAGAATTCTGCGAGATCATCCGCGCAGAACCTCGCGACGCATCCATCGGGTATGTGGAGGAGACATAACTGGGAGCCATGACCTAGGAATCTAGTGTAGGCGTTTAGGGTGTGCATTCGGGAGTTCACCACGACAGGATTCAGGATTAAACGGTCCCAATCCTGATCCTTTGCAACACAGAAAAGCCCCACACATTCCTTCAAGTCACTAATCTGGTCTTCCCTGAAAATCCTTAAAGCCCCGACGTTGTCCCAAGAGAGCGCTAGCTTGAGGAGCTCGGCTTTGGAAGCATGAACCTTTGCCTTAGGAACCTTGGGCCAGGAATCGGCAGGCTTGCGGAGCACTTTGGGGTCTGCAAAGGCTGCTCGAGAAAGATGGTCCTGGAGGAAAGGGGTAGGATCAAAGCTTGGGGGATACTTCCACCGAACCCTGCTCGCAATCACTGGCTGGCAGGCCTGAAGGTCGGGCGACAGGCTCGATGCAGGCACCTGAGGCGAGGCAGGGGAAGCTGAGGAAGGGTCAGGCACAGCACTCTCAAGGTCAGGGTCGTCATGCTTTTGAGGGGGTGCAAAGGGCTTGCTGTACGGATCAAAAGCTCTACGCAGATCATGCAAAAGCAACTCAAGGTCCACCTCCGACTCTGAAGCCGGCAGTTCCCGAATGAATTTCGCAAGCCGATCAAACTTTTCGCTGCAGCGTCCCAAACTTTCAGGACCGAAGTCCGGAGTCGAAAGGAAGTGGACGACATGTCGAAGCAACCGATCAACAATCGAGCTCTGCTCTGAAGCAAGGGGCGCTCCGGCCCGGCATTCGGGGCAAGGGGAACGCGGGAAGCCGAGCAGCAACCAGTTCAAGGTGGGGATAAGGGCCCTAAGTACATCATACGCTGCACTCAGAAGGCGCATCTTGCGTCTGCGTCTTGCTCCAGGCCTTTGCGGAAACTGTTCGAAATCATGGCTAGT